ATACTTTGAAAACAAAGGGCCCCATGACAACATAAGTAAAAATTATATATTACAAAATACGTTGATTGTTTGTTTGTTTGGCTGTACTGCGCGGCTTGCAGGATCTTAGTTCCCCAACCAGAGATCGAACCCGTGCCCCCTGCAGTGGAAGCATGGAGTCCTAACCACTGAACTACCAGGGAATTCCCTATTACAGAATACATTTTGATGTTATTATATTCTTTTCCAAATAATTATCCATTTGTCCATACTTCTATATTTATACATAAGCTGAAAGTGTATTTGCTAAAACGTTATTATCTTTAGTTGGTGGTGCTGTGTGTGTTTTTTCTCTTTGTACTTTATGATTTCCAGATTAGTGGAATATTTTAATAAATATCACATATTTCCCTAACATATTATTATAAAAAGTTTCATACATGCAGAAAAGTTTAAAGATGTATAAAATGAACTCATATGAACCCACCACGTGGATACCAAAAAGCTTTGTTTTCCATTATCCTATGTCATTATCTCTCCATTCTTGTTCTGTCAATCAAATGTATTATTTTGGATAGATTTCAAAGTGACTTTAAGTCATCAGGGAAGTTCATTCCCAGACATTACAGCATGTGGATCGTACCATGCTGCAAGTTAGGAGCGCAAGCATGGAGTGCAAGTTAGGAGTCAGGGAGATGGGAGTTCAAGTTGATCCAGGTTTATTTCAGGTCCCAGAGAGAGAGACCAGGAAACCAGGAAGCAGAAAAGAGGAGAAATGTAGACTCTGAAATGGTTTTCTCAGCGTTGAAGAAGACTGTCAAGAAGTTGGAGTCACCACCCAAGGGAGAAAGATGAGAGAGATATGAAGGGCCATGTCATGAAGCCCAGGGCTGCACAGTTTAGGGTGTGGGGCAACAGAAACACTGTGCAGACGGTGCTAAGCCCTTGGCCCAGGGGAAGAAGCAAGTAAGTCAGCCAGAGTGAGGTGGGCCCAGGACAAGGAAATGGTGGCCGGGCTTCCACGGAGGATGAGGAGGGAACACCAGGAACCCACTTGGCCTGTCTTACTGATTCAGGGGGAGCAGAAGCCTTCTTTATTGAGAAGCCTCCTCAATGAAAAGCCCAAGTAGCCCCCACTCGCCACAACTAGAGAAAGCCCGCCTGCAGCGACGAAGACCCAACACAGCAAAAAAACAAAACAAAACATGCCACGTTTATGGCAACACTATTTAAAAAAGCGAAGACATGGTAGCAACCTAAATGTCCATCAACAGATGAATGGATAAAGAAGATGTGGTACATATACACAACAGAATATTACTCAGCCATAAAAATGAACAAGATGGGGCCATTTGTAGAGACATGGATGGACCTATAGACTGTCATACAGAGTGAAGTAGGTCAGAAAGAGAAAAACAAATATCATATATTAATGCATATATGTGGAATCTAGAAAAATGGTACAGATGAACCTGTTTGCAAGGCAGAAATAGAGAGACACAGATGTAGAGAACAAACTTGTGGACACCAAAGGGGGGAAAGGGAGGGTGGGATGAATTGGGAGATTGGGATTGACATATATACACTAATATATATAAAATAGGTAACTAATGAGAACCTGCTGCAGGGCACAGGGAACTCCACTTCGCTGCACAGTAGAAAGTAGCACAGCATTGTAAAACATCTATACCCCAATAAAATAAATAAATAAATAAAATAAAATTTATTATGTAAAAAAAAAATGAAATAATGCCATTTGCAACAACATGGATGGACCCAGAGATTATCATATTAAGTGAAGTAAGTCAGACAGAGAAAGACAAATGTCATATGATAATATATTGCTTATATGTGGAATCTAAAAAAAAAAAAAGGATACAAATGAACTTATTTACAAAACAGAAATAGACCCACAGACCTAGAAAAAAAAAAAAACTTATGGTTACCAAAGGGGAAATGTTGGGGAGGGATAAATTAAGAGTTTGGGAGTAACATATACACACTACTATATATAAAATAGATAACCAACAAGGATGTACTGTATAACACAGGGAATTCTTCTCAATATTTTGTAGTGACTTATAAGGGAAAAGAATCTGAGAAAGAATATATATATGTATATATATGTAAATATGCATAACTGAATCACTTTGCTGTACACCTGAAACCAATACAACATTGTAAATTAACTTCAATTAAAAAAGAAAAAAAAAGTTTAAAAAAAAAACTGAAGGAAAAAAAAGCCATATTTCACTCACTGGCAGAAAGGGTCCAATCAATCTGAAATTTTGTATTTAATTGCCGACCTTGAAAAGATATTAACCAGTTGTATCATGATAAGGGAATGACTCATCATTTTTCTTTTTTTAAATCTAGCATGGAACCAGTGGCCCTGAATGCTGTGGGAGGGGCTTTTCCCTAACCGGACTCTCCCTGCTTCAGAGAGGAGTTCAGTCAACTGTAACAACAGCTTATAAACACATGTGGACTTGGCTCTGAGGTGCTGAGCCAAGTGGGAGACAGACTTTCATAAGGTACGTACTGATTTTATACATCTGTATAGTGTGCTCATAGCACAAGAAAAACTGTTTTATTCTCACATTGTGCCTTCTTGCTGTGCTTAGGGGAGAATTTTAGTCCATTGCTGTTGGATACATCGTTACAGATATGTAAAAATGAAGAATTTAGAAACCTAGGCATGAGAATTTAGATCTGAGAAAAATTAATGATACGAGGAGAAAAAAGAATGATAGCATTTTAGACAATTGGAGAATATGACCAGTGTGTGAGAGAGTGTAGGTGTTTATGCTGGGGTAACTTTCTCTGTAGAAGTAGTCAGTTCACAACAAGTGCAAATTGTGATGCTGTAATACTGTGTGGGCTGTGAAAAATCAAAATTAAGATTCATTAAAATGGGAATAAGTCTGAATGTCAACAGAAAATTAGAGTGGGCTGTGGCAATTCCCCTTCTCTCTCTGGGATTTAAGCAACTCATGGCAAACCTCCAAAGGAAGTCTTGATGGGAAAACTAGCTAATACGGGAGCAGAGAATTAGCTTTTAAAAAATATAGAAATCCACCTGGCTAGAAGGTACAAGTCATTCAAATTGGAATATAGGCGTGAACAATGCACTGTTATAAGTATTAATGTTGGGGGGAAAAAACAAAGGCCTTAGACAGGAGAGGTTCAGTGAGATCCCGTGGAAGTCCTAGAGCTGTCCAGGGCAGGATGAATTCACGGGAGAATTATAGTATCTGAGACTGAAAAGAGAAGATATGGATACAGCAATGTCGAGAAGCACTTTGCAAGGTGCTACAGACAGCAGCATTTGGATCCCATGACACGTGGGGTAGAGTCATTAACTTGGAGGCTGAGATGCAGTGGAGCTGAGGCCACCTGGGCAGGTGGGCAGCAACCTCTGCTTTCTCAGCCTACAGCCGTTCCCCTTGCTCTGCCCTGCTTGGCTAAGAGAATCATGGTTCTTGGGTAGAACCAATAAAGTGAAGTCACTGATGGGCCCTTTATGCGCTGTCAGTTGTCTACAAACCTGTTTTTCTGACTAGATTTAAACCCCTTTAGGGCAGCCACCACATCAGGCTCCTATCGTGTTCCCCAGCAGCCATCATATCTTAGCACAGGAAACTGCCCAATGAGTCTTAGTTGAGGAAGTTGGAAGGAAACTTGTTAAGAGAAGGAAATACGTTTATACGTCAACCAGAAACAAGGTGTTCAAGAAGGATCAGAGAAATGTCTGCATTTCCAGGGGAGAAACAGGAGGTAGGAGACAAGGGATCTTTTCCATCAAGTGTTGACAGTGAGACCCTGAGCTCCTGCTCTAAAAAGCAGTGGGTGGAACCCACTGCCATGGCTGGAACGCATGCAAAGGGACTGGGGGACCAGCAGATTCCGGAGTTGTCCAGATCAGGGAGTGAGTGGGGCTGGGGCCAGGCCTGAGGGGAAAGGCAGGTGGGGTGCATGGTTCAGGGGCAGAACCAGGGGTTAGCTGCGGTCCTGGGGTTTCGAAAGGCTGTGTTCAGTGCTGTGCCAGACTGCACTGAATCTTTGCCAGAAACTTCCTGCATTCCAGGTTAACTAATCAGTGAACATCACTCATCTTTCACACAAGCCAAATAAAAAGGGAGCCATTGTATAACTTGGCTGAAAAAAGTCTGGATATGTATAAAGTCTCATTCCTACTGGAGCTATGGGTCAAGAGGTAGGTAGGTAGATAGATAGATAGATGTAGATAGACAGACAGATACAGACAGAAGAAAGAAGACGCGTGGGCTATCCGGTGTGCTGAGACTCGCCTGTCTCTCAGGAAATGAGAGCAGGAGGGAAATTGGATTTCCTGGTCCCTATTATGAATTTTTTATACCTTATCTAGTTTTCTCAACCATCCTCACTAATAGATATAACTATATAACTATATAACTATATACCTATATATATATATATATTTTTTTTTTTTGCGGTACACGGGCCTCTCACTGTTGTGGCCTCTCCCGTTGCAGAGCACAGGCTCCGGACGCGCAGGCTCAGCGGCCATGGCTCATGGGCCCAGCTGCTCCGCGACATGTGGGATCTTCCCGGACCGGGGCACGAACCCGTGTCCCCTGCATCAGCAGGCGGACTCTCAACCACTGCGCCACCAGGGAAGCCCATTAGGAGGTTTTTAATAAATACTAGTTCTCTAGTTGTTCTGCTCCCAAACCCCCAGCCATGCATCCTCACCACAGACTCACCTCTTAGCCTGCCAAGACAATCAGATTTTACCCAATGGAGACTGGACAATGGTTTGGTGCAATTTCCCACAGTTGGCTATCGGGGGTGGGAATTTGGGCCAAGGCAGACATTCCAGGGACTCTTCCGACTCTGCGACAAAGGAGGCCAATACTTCTTCAGCATTGTTGGTGCTGTTCAGTCATATATCATAAAGTACATCTTGCTTCTGTGGTTTTATTCTTTGTTCATTCATTTACTCATTCATTCATTCATCCATTAAGGTTTAGAGAAACCAGGAGACTGCCATCATGGCGGGGAAACCCAAGCTTCACTACTTCAATGGACGGGGCAGAATGGAGGCCATCCGGTGGCTCCTGGCTGCAGCTGGAGTAGAGGTAGGTCCTGAGTTTGTTCATCTGAAGTTGAATCTAAATTAACTGTATCAAAGTACTTTTCTAACATAAGCTAGGGGACTTTTCATACTAAATGACCTGTTAAGAGTTCTGCATTAAAACAAATCTGTCAGTTATTTAAGAGATAAACAGATTTGTCCTAATATGTTATTAAAATGTCTTCTTATTAGAGAGAATAAACAGAGTAAATTTAAGAAACTAATTACATCGTGTGGGCCTAATTTGGATTTTGATTTTTAAAATTATAAAATATTATTTATGACGTTTATACAGCTGTCAAAAACATGAACATTAAATATCAGTTGATATTTAGTAAACTTTGTTAATGTGTTAGGTGCTATAATGTATTGTGGTTATTTTTAATAGTTTTAATGTTTTAGAAATATACACTGAACTATTTAAAGTTGAAATATAAGGTATCTGGGATCTCTTTCAAATTATTACGAAGGGGAGAGGGGGTAGGCATATAGATAACTCACAGCTGGGTTGAGCTGATAATTATTGAAGCTGGTTGATGGGTACAAGGAGGATTATGATAATTTGCTGTTCATTTTTCTGTATGCTACAAATGTCCATAACAAAAAGACAAAAATATACATATTAGAAAATAAATGTAATTAAAGTTAAAACATAAACCAGAAATACAGAGAGGGGCGGATTGTAACAAACTCTCTGTTAGATTTAATGCATTCACTCAGCAATGAATTTGTTGGGCACCTTGAAGTGCTAGGTTCCCTGCCAGGTCCTGGAGATACGGGGGTGAACTAGACAGACACAGTCCCTGCCCTCAGGCAACTTACACTCTAGTGAGGATGCAGACAAGTAAGTGGGTGATTAAAGGAGGGGTGGGAGCATCTAGGAGGACACACAAGCACTTTAAAGTGTTAAAATGACATATTCTCAGGAGCAAGTGTGGGACTCTGTTGAGTGCTTCCCTCTAGAGGTGTCTCTGAGAAAAGCACTTCTCAGCCCAGGTCAGAGGGACACAGCAACTCTGTGCTGGTTTCCTGGGGAGGGAGTCATGGACAGACTCTGGAGACTTGGTCCCTAAGGGGAGAGCAAGCAGTAAAGGAGGGTTTCAGGTGAGGTGGCATCCTGCAAAGGGAACCTCTGGTGTGCTCTCTTAGCCTCCTAACAGCATGTTTACCTAAGCCCCTGTGTTCAGAGCCCCTGGGCAGGATGAGTTCACCACCAGAAGGTGAAGTAGGGGGAGATGCTGAGAGCATCCCAGGCCTCCTCTTGTCTAGCCCAGCCTGACTGAGGAGGGTGTGAGACAAGGCTTACCAGAGGCTCTTGGTCGGGACTTCTGGGTTCTCTGGGTCCAAAGGCAGATCCTCACAACCCCATCTCCATTGGTCTCACAAGCAACAGCCCACCAGCAAGTTCCATCCTACCTCGGCCACCCTCCCACACTGACCACCCACCACCCCCTATGTTATCTAGAACTGGGTGCTTTATAAATTGTTGCCCACACACCTCACTCTCTGTATAGTCTGACCCTATGGGATCACGTAGAGCCACGATAAACTGTTTAGCAAGTTAGAAACCCCCAGTTCCCAAACTTTTCACCATCAAGACCCCTTTTCAAAATATAAAGTTGAATGGAGGGAGGTAATATACAGCAGAGGCCCCTGGTGGCAGCATCTTGGGGGTCAGTGGCCCCATGGGTACTGCGTGCTGGGGGACACTCAATACCTTGTCCTGATTTCACAAGGAGAGAAGGGCTTTCCAGAGATATTAAAACTCCATAACTAGAGGAACTTCTCAGTCCCTTCCCTCCAGTGATTTCCCCCTTCCAAATCACAACCTAATGATTGACAGAGGTGGAGACGGTGTGGAGGTGAATTGAAGCTGCAAAATAAGCAATTACGTGCTGCAACCCATGCTTTTATCTTGGTGGCTCTAATCCAGATTTCCAAATGGCCATGAGCATCGTCCTCTGTGTACCCTGCCAAACTCGGAAATCTTAGCTTCTCCATAGTATGCACCCGACATTGGTCATTCAAGCTCAATAATGTTATGGAATGAAATAACAAAAACTCACTGACTGTTTCTGCTTTCCAGTTTGAAGAGATATTTATAAAAACTCCAGGAGACTTGGATAAGTTAAGAAATGGTAAGACCAAGAAACTAAATTCCTCTGATGGGAGGATCGAGTACAAGTCATAAGTTGAGGTTTGAACCCCAGCAATGCCATGTGTGTACATGGTGGGAGTGGGGTCAGTGGAGAGGGAGAAGCATGGTTAAAGGTAAGGGGTGGGGCTTCTTGAGCAGGTCTTGCAGCTCACTCAGGACTAGGAAGGGCTGGAACTCTGAGTATTTGCTAAAGGAGCCGGCCTGGGCGGTGCCCTGTGAATGCCCTCTCTGTGCACTCCCTGCCTTTCTGCACCGTGAGTGACTGTATCAGTCCAGGATGCCACACAGCCCTCCCACCCAAGGAAAACAAATGCATTAGAAAGAAGAGGGGAGAAACAGGCCCAGCAGTTGCCTTGAATTCTTTTCTCTGACAGGTTTGACATGGTAATATCATAGCAATATTGCAGACTCAAATAACCAGGTGGTGTTGAATTAGTTCGAAGTCCAGGTGAACGTGTGAGGAGGGAGATAAAGAGCAAGGACCAGCATCAGTGGAGTTGGGAAAACAGGCCTGTCCTGCACACCATCCAGTGGTGGGATTTGAAGGGCATACAAAACACTCTATGTAGGAGTCTCTCTTAGAACTGGCCTTAATGCCATGAACCCCATGAGACTTACTTTGAGAATTTCCCTTTTGACTTGGCAACTGGCTGGTGGAACTTCTCCTACATTCTTCTTAAAAATCCATGAAGACAAATCAAACACATAAAATAAAGGGACATACCATGCTCTGAATGGGAAATAAAAAGTTAACTGAAATAATAGATTGAAAAGAAAAAGGCAAATTGATAAGCAAAAGGATTACAGGAAGCTAAAAGGTATTTCCATTGAAATTTTACCAGGTAAAATTTTTGTTTCCTTTTATGTCTTCAGTCATTTCAACAAAAATTTTGATACATAAAATGTTTCAGTTTACCTTAACAGTATGATTCATCCAATATTTCACTCTATTTCTTTTCTTCTTTCAAAAGAAGGGAGTTTGATGTTCCAGCAAGTGCCCATGGTTGAAATTGATGGGATGAAGCTGGTGCAGACCAGAGCCGTTCTCAACTACATTGCCACCAAATACGACCTCTATGGGAAAGACATGAAAGAGAGAGCCCTGTACGGTATTTTTTCTGTTCTTTCATTAATGATTAATAAGAACAATCTAGGTCCTTCCCTGAGTGAGCAGGATGTGTTCACAGGGATCGAAACAAGGGACAAACTGTCTGAGTGTCTAGAGGATAAAACCTCAGAAGGTAAGTATCTAGACAAAGTGATTCTCCAGTTTCAGAAATTATAAGAATGATAACCAGGAACCTAATTTATCAGCCCTTTATATGGACTGGCCACTTGACAAGGGTTTGCAGAGACGGAGCCCACGATGCCAGGGTTATCTGGAACATTTTAATATCAGTTTGTAGCAGGCAGATTTATTCAATACAGCCATATTTGGGGGGGTCTCCTCTGTGTTGTGATGGGACCCCATGATTGAATCATGGAATGTGGCAGTTACTCAAAAAGTTAAACATAGAGTTACCATACAACTCAGCAATCCACTACTAGGAATATACTCAAGAGAATTAAAAATATTAAAAATACAACCACACTAAAACTTGTACACAAAAGTTCATAGCACTATTGTTCGTAATATTCAAAAAGTGGAAACAACAAAATGTCCATGAATGGATGAACAAAGGCAGGCACGTCCGCACAGTGGAATGCTATTTGGCCATGAAAAGGAATGGAGTCCTGATCCGTGTTACAACATGGATGAACCTTGAAAACATTCTCTTACAGAAAGAAACCAGACACAAATGACGCATATTGTATGATTCCATTTGTTTGGCATGTGCAGAACATTGCTCTCCGTAAAACCAAAAGCAGTTCAGTGTTTGCCAGAAGCTGGAGGGAGGGAAGAACACGGAATGCCTGAAAAAACACTCAGCGTCTCTTTTGCAAGTGATGAAAATATTTTGGAATTAGAGTATGATGGTGGTACAGGATGCTGTGACTTTACAAAGAAAAATCACACAATTTTACACTCGAAAAGGGTGACATTCTGGTATGGGAATTATATTTCAATAAAGCTTTCATTTAAAAAGACTATTGTAGGAAACCATGTTTGGAAGAAAAACAGCAAATTTACCTGGAATATGTACTGTAGGAACGAAATGAAGAAACGCACGATTTCGGGGGATATTTTGGGTGGAGTCTTGAGAAATGCAAACAAGGCCAGAGTTGGGCAACAATATGTGAAGAGGGTTGTGGAACCATATTCTATGGGAAATAACCGGAGGAAGTGCTGGTTGGGCATCTAAAGGGTCCTGGTAGTATAACAGGATGGGACAGGAGAGGGACATGGCTAGGTCCGTGGTGCCAGGGCTCTCTCTGGACATGACTGAGGTGTTACTAATTCATCACACTAACTGTGCACAGAACACACCACAGCAGAGACGGCAAACCCTAGGCATGGTCTCAGTGGTTACCTGCAGTGATTCCACCCGTTTCTCTCATGCCTGTGACTCTGGACAGGTCACTGATATGCTCTGTCCCTACATTTGGTCATGTATATAACAAAAATATTAGACATATATCTTCCTCGATGGCTTGCTCTAGAATGAAATGTTAAATTTAAGAAAAATCATAACTAAATGACTGACATAGAAAAATGCACCCAGTGGGGGTGATTTACTCTGCCACCTCCTGATGCCCCGTCCTTACCCATTCTAAACTGTAAAATCTAACACAGGAGACATTTGACAAGTTGGTCATTTTGTCTTTCAGGATTGATATGTATGCAGAGGGTGTGGCAGATCTGGGTGAAATGATCATGCATTTGCCACTGTGCCCACCTGATCAGAAAGATGCCAAGACGAGCCAGATCAAAGAGAGTATAACAAACCGTTATCTTCCTGCATTTGAAAAAGTGAGTGGACTGTTCAGCGTTTTTGGCACTGAGATCAAAGAACAAAGAAAAATAGTGCTTGGTATTGCAGGGGCATTGACCTTCACCTCTGTGAGCCTTTCTGAATACTAATGTAGCACCCTGACTCTAGGGCATTTTATAAAAATTGACTATGAAGAAGAATTGTACCCAAGTTTTGCCCAAGTTATAATTTTTCAGCAATTTTTTTTTTTTTTTTTTTTTTTTTTTTTGGCGGTACACGGGCCTCTCACTGTTGTGGCCTCTCCCGTTGCGGAGCACAGGCTCCGGAAGCGCAGGCTCAGTGGCCATAGCTCACGGGCCCAGCCGCTCCGCGGCATGTGGGATCTTCCCGGACCGGGGCATGAACCCATGTCCCCTGCATCGGCAGGCAGACTCTCAGCCACTGCACCACCAGGGAAGCCCGTCAGCAAAATTTTAATTTACTCAGACCCAATCTGGAATTCTTATACTTAGAGCTTGGGCTATGGAAACTCTGAGAGCCACACTAGAGCCTGGAGTACATGGATCCTGCAGAACAGAGTGCAGGGGCTTTGATCCAAGAGGAGCACAATGACAGCAATGCATCAGAAAATATTCTGGTACCATGTGTAGGGAGATACGAGACCCTACCCATCAGGAGAATGTGGTACTGTTTGGGGGATGGATGAGATGTATCTAAACAGAGAAGGGGGCAGAGTGGTGGAGAGGAAGAATCAGAAGAAAAGTTGTTCAGGAAAAAATAATCTACAAAGTTTGGGGACATGGCTCTCAGACTTTTGAAGAAAATCATACAAAACCAAGAAAATAATGTTCCATCATTATATGTAGTAGATATCTTAGTTAATGTTTCTCTTTGAAGGTAAGAGGAGAACACCTCAAGATCCAAACTACCTGAAATCATGCTAAACAAGAATCATGAACTGAAAAAAAAAAGATCGTAAGAGATGCAGAAGGCTAACATAAAAATAAAAAGCTTAACCAACACCCTCATCTTTATAAAGTTTAAATCATTCTTTCATTTCACAAGTATTAATTCATTGCTTATGTGTCAGGTCCTAGTCAAGGAGTGAATAATAGTAATCAGAAACTACATTCTCCTGGCTTTATGGTGCTCAAAGTTTAGGCACATTCACATGGTGGAAACCCCTATAGTCATTGCAGTTTAAGTACATCTGTATTTTGAAATCAAAGACCCCCATGATAACATCAATGAAAAATGTATATTACAAAATAGCATTTGATGTCTTACTATGTTCTTTAATTTTTAGCTATACTTCTATGTTCATACATAGTCTGGGAGGATATTTGCCAAAATGTTATTATCTTTACTTGGTGGTGATATGTGTGTTTTTGCCTCTATGATTTTCATATTGTTGCAATATTTTAAGTAAGCATCATATATTTTTTCCAATATTTTATTATGAAAAATTCAACCATAGAAAAGTTGAAAGAGATGTACAATCAACTCATACATACCCACCACCTAGAATCAAAAATTAGTATTTTGTTATTATGTTTGCTTCATCATGTATCTCCCTATCCTTTTCTCCTCTGATCAAACATATTATTTTGGGGGGTGTTTCAAAGTAAGTTGCAAACATTAAGTGCAATCACCCCTAGACAGTTCAGCATGCAAATTATAATATATTCCACAGTGTTATTGACAGACACAGGTGGAATAGGAGTCAGAGTCAATTTTGTCAGGGAGATGGGAATTCAGGTTGACCCAGGTTTATTTCAGGTTCCAGAGGGAGAGACCAGGAAATGAGGAGAGCAGACAAGAGGAGAGAAGAAATACAGACTCTGCAATAATTTGCTTAGGGTGGTAGAAAGCTGTCATGAAGGTGGAATCACTGCCCAAGGTGGGGGAGGGGAGAGAGAGAGACGGATGAAAGGCCGCATCATGAAATTCAGAGCTGCACGCTTTAGGGTGTGAGGTCAACAGAAACACGGTGTATATAGTGGAAGCAAGTAAGGCAGCCACAGCGAGGTGGGAACAGGAAAAGAAAATGGTGGCCTGACTTCCACTGAGGTTGAGGAGGGAACAGCAGGGACCCACATGGCCTGTCTCACTGATCCGGGGGCAGCAGAAGGTCTGAAGGTCCACACCCACCCAGTGAGGCACAGAGGGGGAAGTGGGGCAGGGGAGACAGAGGAAGAGCATTGGGCCCAGCCTGCCCGGGCCTGTGTTCCTGATCTGACCCCTCCATTCGCCAGGTGTTGAAGGGTCATGGACAAGACTATCTTGTGGGCAACAAGCTGAGCAGGGCTGACATCCACCTGGTTGAACTTCTCTACTACGTGGAAGAGCTGGACCCCAGCCTTTTGGCCAACTTCCCTCTGCTGAAGGTGAGCTCTCTCACAGCCTTTGGGGGGAGCCCACATCTCCCACCTCGGCATCTGCTCTCTGGACCCTGGGACTGTGTTGCTAGGGTCCCTGACACTGTCCAGGCCTCACTGCCCCCAGGTCTCCACAGTTCACTCCAAGGCCTTGGTCTGGGGCATGGAAAGAATCTGGTCACGCCAAAGACATTGGAGATGATCGCTGCCCCAAGGAGAATGACTTGCCTTTTCCCAGGAGAGAGACCCAGGACGTAGCGCCTCTCTCTGCCCCTGTTCCATTTCAGTCTCTTTCTTCATTTCCTCTTTGCTTCCCTCCCTCCCAGGTGTGTCCTCCTCTTTCTTTACGTGAGTCTGTCTGCGCAGATCTGCCACCATCTCATTTCTTCCCCTCAGCTCCTGTTCCTTCTCTTCCAAGTTCATTTCTCTCTCCCCATCTCTCCCTCTCTCCGAGGGCAGATTGGTTCTGACTGGCCTCATTGTCTACCTTTCATGTTTTCTGTCTTCAGTTCCAGCCCAATTCCCCTACACCTTCCTGTCTTGATATCTTGGAGCCTTTATCTGTGTTGTCGTGTGAGACACGTTACTCTTCCTCGTATTGCACGACAGGGTGAATCTGCAGAATTTACGTGTAGGAAGAACATGAGGAAGACTTGAGCTGAGTGAAGTCTTAAACTAAGACATCTCTGGGGAAAACGTTATTATGCTTTTATCTTCCTGCCTCACTAGGTGTCTGTGTCCAGCCTCATCCTGGTGCTGATGGAGGGGCCTCGGCTGGCCCTTTTCTGGGAGGGTCTCAGAGTCCCCGGTTTGTGCTCACGACGGGGCTGGTCTTTGGCTGCACTCTGAGCTGTGCTCTTGTGCGTTGCAGGCCCTGAAAACCAGAGTCAGCAATCTCCCTGCCGTGAAGAAGTTTTTGCAGCCTGGCAGCCAGAGGAAGCCTCCCATGGATGAGAAAAATTTGGAAGAAGCAAAGAAGATTTTCAGGATGCAATAAAGCGGGCGTGGCTGCCCAGAACACAGGGAAAACTTCAGGAGATTGAAGTTTTCCAACAGTGAAGTGCTTTACCTATATGTAGATCCTGGCTACTGTGAAGCTAATAAATATTCCAAAGTATAAGGGCTAATTTAATTAGAATGCAGATTTCGTTGCAGAGCAATCCATTTTGTTTTGATCACATACGAAATCATGATCTCCTCCTAGAATGTGCCTGGGACTTAAACATAAATAAAGGGAGAGAAAGTGTCATGGGCTCTGATCTGTTCAAAAAATTGTCATACACCAACTGTCATAGTCAAAAAGAGTTAAGTAGAAATTGTCATCTGGTATTCTTGGTGACACAAAGATAGTCTTTTTTGAATTTTGCTGCCTTTCTGACCCACAACCTAAAAACTTTTCTTCTCTTTTTTTTTCAGAGGACCTTTTTCCTTCAGGTAATCAAACTTTTTTCCTATTCAGTTATGGAACTAATATTTATTTTATATCTAATATGGAACATTCTGTGCTCCAGGAGCTCAGTAACTAAGGATAAATAAGCCAGATATAGTCCCTGTCCTCAAGGAGGTTACACTAGTGAGAAAAACAACAAAATGGGTAATTCTAATCCAGAATCATGCTGGCCTTGTGTATCATGCTCCTACAGATGCTGTAACAAATGACAAGTATAGTGGTTAACACAATGGAAATGTATTCCCTCACAGTTCTGTAGGCTCTTCGTGTGAAATCAAGGTGTGACAGGGTCATACTCTCTCTGAAGGCTTTAGAGACGATCCTTCCTTGCCTCTTCCTAGCTTCTTTTTTTAAAAATTTATTTATTTATTCATTTATTTAATTTTTGGCTGCACTGGGTCTTTGCTGATGCACGTGGACCTCCTCTAGTTGCTGAGAGCGGGGGCTACTCCTTGTTGTGGTCCACGGGCCTCTCATTGCGGTGGCTTCTCCTGCTGCAGAGCTCGGGCTCTAGGTGCACAGGCTTCAGTAGTTGTGGCTCACGGGCTCAGTAGTTGTGGCCCATGGGCTCCAGAGCACAGGCCCAGTAGTTGTGGCGCACGGGCTTAGTTGCTCCACGGCATGTGGGATCTTCCCGGACCAGGGCTCGAACCTGTGTCCCCTGCATTGGCAGGCAGACTCTTAACCACTGCGCCACCAGGGAAACCCTCTCCCTTTTTCTTAGTTTCGTGATTCACACGCCTTTCTTACCAACATGCTGTCACACTAATCCCATCCAATCCTGCTTCATTTCAAAAGGTCAGAATTTTCATGAAATAAATAATGTATTATCAGTGACAGCCCTCCCCTCTCTGGAGCTCAGGCTTGTGAAGAAGGCTCTGAAAAGGCTCCAGAGTCTGACGTTGGGCAGAAATGCAGTGTGTGGCAGGGCAACCTGGATGAGTCCCAAGAGCGGCATGGTAGGGATATGAAGAAAATTAAATAGGGTCTGTAACAGAGACTAACTGTGGGGGGAGGCGAGGGGAGAGCTCTGCTCTATTTTTTCCTGCTTTAATGCAGTATAACTGACAAATAGAATTGTACAATATTTAAAGTGTATCATGTGCTGTTTGATATACACCGTGAAAGGATTGCCCCCATCAAATTAATTAACACATCCATCATCGCCTTACATATTTACTTTTTTTAAATACAATATAGTGTTATCAGCTAGAGTCACCATGTTATACATTAGATCCTCAGACCTTATTTATCCTATAACTGAAAATTTGTACCCTTTTCCCAATGAGAGCTGTACTTTATTTTTTTTTAATTTTTATTGGAGTATGGTTGCTTTACAATGTTGTGGTAGTTTCTGCTGTACAGCAAAGTGAATCAGCTATACATATACATATATCCCCTGAGAGCTCTACTTTAGATGGATTGTACGGGAAGGTCACTCTGGGGAGGTGATAGATAGGGTGAGACACAAAAGTGAGAAAGAACCAGACATACAAGAAGATGGGCAAAGAGGGGTCCAGACGGAGGAACCAGAATTTTCAAAGCCTTAGCATGGAAAGCAGTGTCTTTGGTGCACCAAGCCAAAAGAGACATTGCTGGAGAACGGGTGTGCCACGTGGCATGAGAAGGGGCAGCAGACGGCAGATGACACGCTCCTTCAGTCCTCTCAAGGAATTTGGATTTTATTCTAGGTGAAATGGGAATCCAATGTCTGGCTTTCTTCCATAAGATTTTGCCCAGATGATACAGTATTTTGGGAGGTATAGTTTTACACTATAGCTATTTGAAAGCATTGCTTGAACTAAAGAAGTAAAATTCATCTGCTTCTGCACCAAAAAAGGATGGAGAGAAAACTGAAAACCAGTCACAGAGTGTGGATTTGCCAAACTAAACTAAATTAGCTTTCTGGGGTTTCATGGATAAGTATGCTGGTATAATTTGTAAAACTTGTAAAATAAATGAATTGTAAATGACATTAGAAGGACAGGGGTCGAGAATTCCCTGGCGGTCCAGTGGTTAGGACTCTGCACTTTCACTGCCGAGGGCCTGGGTTCAGTCCCTGGTTGGGGAACTAAGATCCCACAAGCCGTGTGGCCAAAACATAAAATAAAATTCTTAAAAAAAAAAAAAAAAAAAGGACAGGGACCAACTAATAAGACTACTATTTACTATTGCTGGTGTAACTCACTGAGAAGGTAAGTGTGGATCAAAACATTTTAATAGAATCATTTAAATATACTCAGGGAGCTATCTGCTTAACCTCACCAAATCACTTCAAAACCTAAAGCAGCCCTGTAATAGTGGGAATAACTGCCTCTAATATTGTTTTTGTTTTTGTTTTTTTCTGCGGCATGCGGGCCTCTCACTGCTGTGGCCTCTCCTGTTGCGGAGCACAGGCTCCGGACGCACAGGCTCAGCGGCCATGGCTCACGGGCCCAGCCGCTCCGCGGCATGTGGGATCCTCCCAGACCGGGGCACGAACCCGTGACCCCTGCATCGGCAGGTGGACCCCCAACCACTGCGCCACCAGGGAAGCCCATTTTTTGTTTGTTTGTTTTTTACATTTTTAAATAAATATTTTAAATAACAAGATCTTGTGACAGGTCTAATAACTTCTGTGATTTTGAGGTAGAAAAGAGTGCAAACAATAACAAACGGCTATTTTTATGCTAAGCTTTCTTGAAACAAAGCTTCCAGTACAAGAATGGATTTGTGGACTTCCCTGGTGGCGCAGTGGTTAAAGAACCTGCTGCCAATGCAGGGAACACGGGTTTGAGCCCTGGTCCGGGAAGATCCCACATGTGGCGGAGCAACTAAGCCCGTGCGCCACAACTACCACTATGGAGCCCGCGAGCCACAACTACTGAGCCCGTGTGCCATAAATGCTGAAGCCCGCGCACCTAGAGCCTGTGCTCCACAGCAAGAGAAGCCACTGCAATCAGAAGCCCGCGCACCACAATGAAGAGTAGCCCTTACTCGCCGCAAACAGAGAAAGCCTGTGCACAGCAACAAAGACCCAAAAATAAATAATAAATTAATTTTTTAAAAAAGAATGTACTTGCGCATTCACACAGATGCTCCATGCACACATACATCCGTGAAGAAAGCATGTACTAAATGCTGATGGGCTGCATTGCACTTAATTGCGAAGTTCCATATTTTTAAATTCTTTTGAGAATTTAAAAACATTAGATAAGGGATAGTTACAGAGTTTGGGATTGACATCTACACACTGCTATATTTAAAATGGATAACCAACAAGAACCTACTGTATAGCTCAGGGAACTCTGCTCAATGTTATGTGGCAGCCTGGATGGGAGGGGAGTTTGGGGGAGAATGGATACATGTATATGTAGGGCTGAGTCGCTTTGCTGTGCACCTGAAACTATCACAACATTGTTAATCGCCTATACTCCAATATAAAATAAAAAGTTTTAAAAAGTAAATAAAAAAACATTAGATTGATACATAATATGTCATTGGGATTTCTTAGAGAATTGATTTTGCCTAATTTTTTTCCAATATATTTTAAATAAATTAACTTGTTTGCTTATCTAGATATTATCTGATTGATTGGTGGATTTTATATATTTTTTTACAAAGCCTTATATTCCACTGTCAGAAACAATTTAGTTCCTGGTACCAGTGATCCTTCTGCAAGGAGACTGAAGCACAGACCTTTCCAAATCAGAGCAGCATGTTCTAGGACAGCATCTTTATGGAACAAAGCAAACCTCACTTTATGTCATAAGCGGGACATAAAGACTTTCCATAAACCAGAAAATATATATTCAATATCCCTTAGATGGACACAGGAAAATGAACTGTGTACCAGGTTACTAGACTGACTTTCATAGAAAGGAATATCCGTAGTCTTTCTCTTAAATTACCCAAGAATTCACATTACTAAAACCCAATTTCCATGGACAACACAGAATGGAGGCATGATGCCAAGACAATTGGAGACAAAGTTCTAGAATGTAGGCTGAGGATAAAAAAAATAAAGCCATGCAGTTACTGGTCTACTTAATTCCTTTTATTCTTACACACTTTAAACAATGGATTATGCCCTTTAATTTTTTGACTTCAAAGGCACATTTGAAAGGTGTTTAGACAGTGCCCGCAGGGCTTGAAATCATTAAACCTGAATTCAGAAGGCTCATCTGGGTGGAGCATTGATCACACCCATTCATCCCTAAAGCTGGAGTGAACACAGTTCCAAGTCTCATGATTCAGAAGTCACACCAGGGCCTTTAAAGCTTTAATACATTACGAATATCATCCGTTTTTGCTGAGCAATTAAAAATATATATTTTTTTTTTTTGCGGTACGCGGGCCTCTCACTGTTGTGGCCTCTCCCATTGCGGAGCACAGGCTCCGGACGCGCAGGCTCAGCGGCCATGGCTCACGGGCCCAGCCGCTCCGCGGCACGTGGGATCTTCCTGGACCGGGGCACGAACCCGTGTCCCCTGCACCGGCAGGCGGACTCTCAACCACTGCGCCACCAGGGAAGCCCTAAAAATATTTTTTATGATGGGAAATTTCATACATTCACAAAAATAGAAAGAAGTGTATAAAAAGCCCTATATACCCATCACCCAGCCACAGCAATTAGCAACAAAATGTCACTCATGTTGCATCTGTATTTCTACCCACTCCCCCTCACAGCTGGGTTAATTTGAAGTAAATCCCAGTATCATATTATTTCATCCATAAATACTTTGACATGAGTCTCTAAAAGATAAAGATCCTTTGGGGAAAACATTCTATATTATTATTATACTTAAAAAATTAACAGTAATTCCCTTATATAAATGTTCAGTCATGGTTCAAATACTCCTGATTGTATCACATTTAAAAAGAATAACTGCTATGTTAGAACGAGAAGCTAAAAAAGGTCTACACATTGCATTCATTTGAAGAATGAATTCATTCTCTTAAATCTCTTTAACCTATAGGCTCCCCGTGCCTCTTTGATTTTCATGCAATTTACACATTTTCTTATAGAAATATAAAAGTAGAGAGTCATTTGAAATGTATTAATCACTTGAGCTGGAGAACAGTGCTTCTAAACTTGAATGTACATACAAATTCCCAGGGGTCTTAAAATACAGATTCTGGGGTAGCGCTTGAGTTGCTACGACCTCCCAGGTGATCTGTATGTTGCTGGTCTGGGGACCACTCTATGAAGAGCAAGCCTGTTGAGTTCCACATTATAAATACTGCTGATTTTGCTGATTACATTCCTGAGGTGCTTCTCTGTTTCCTGTGTTTCCTGTAATTTGATATCTAGAGGTTTGAATGAATTCCAGGTCAATTATTTTGGCAAGAATTCTTCATAGGTACTGCTGCATGCTTTCTATTGCTTCACACCAGGAGGACCATCATGTCTGATTGTCCCACATTTAGTGATGTTAAATATTTAGGGCAGTCAACCCCGGTATTTCCACTACAGAGATCCCTATTCGTAGTTTTAGCAGCTATTGACATCATCATCATCCTGATGAACGGTTCTCAACACTGGCTACACAGTAGAATCAAGAGTCCTCTTTGAGATCAATTATATCAGAATCTCTGGGGTTAGGCCCAGGTAGAGAGAGAGAGAGTGTGTGTGTGTGTGTGTGTGTGTGTGTGTGTGCTTGCACACTCGTGTACCTGAATGTGCTTTAAACCCCTCACATGGTTCTAACAGGTATCATGTAGGGTTGAAAAACCATTGGCCTAGATCACTTTTTTTCATTCTGGTTTCCAAATGGTGATATGCTCAATCGATCCTTTTTTCTTCATTTATTTTGCTGAGCTCTTAATGTGTGGAAGCGCTGGCTTAGAAAATGAGCCAGGTAACAGGCTACAAAATAAATCAGCTCCCATTCATACCATGAAGACACTCCTCGTCCTCCCAAAGCCACCCCCTACCCTCCCCACAGCCCTCCTTGCTTTCAGGGACCCTCCTCCACAGGTACCTCAAGCTGTCCAGAGCCTATCACTCCACCAGGTCTCCCCCATCATGCCCCATCAACCTCTCAAGGCTATCTTGGGGAGGTGGGGATGGGCTTCTAATTTCTATACTATTTTACCTTCTTCAAAATGAGCATGGGTTATGTTTCTAAAAAACATTTTCATTTTCAGAAGAAAAGGAAAATGTGAAAAGACCCACTTTTTCTAACTCTGCACTTTTGCTTTAAATCCCCATGAGTCATTGAAAATCCTCTTTTTTTTTTTTTTTTTTTTTTGCGGTACGCGTTCCTCTCAGTGTTGCGGCCTCTCCCGCTGCGGAGCGCAGGCTCAGCGGCCATGGCTCACGGGCCCAGCCGCTCCGCGGCATGTGGGATCCTCCCGGACCGGGGCACGAACCCATATGCCCCGCATCGGCAGGCAGACTCTCAACCACTGCGCCACCAGGGAAGCCCTGAAAATCCTCTTGATTGACGTCTTTGGGCTACAGATGCCAGCATTAAAATACAGAGATGACTGTAATTTGGAAAGTGAAAAACCTCAGCATCCCCTAATCTCACCCCATTTCACCAGTCAAGGCTTGTCCTGGAAGGAGGATGATCTGCAAGTAGATAAAAAGAGAAAAATCTGAAAACCTAAAATCTTGCCACCTGTCACAGGAGGAAAGCTGGTCAGAATCTTATTCTTCTATCTTCCTGGCTTCATCACTCTCATCCTCTTTCTCCATTTTAAAAATGTATCAGTTATTTAGGGCTTCCCTGGTGGCGCAGTGGTTGAGAGTCCACCTGCCAATGCAGGGGACACGGGTTCGTGCCCCGGTCCGGGAAGATCCCACATGCCGCGGAGCGGCTGGGCCCGTGAGCCATAGCCGCTAAGCCTAAGCGTCCGGAGCCTGTGCTCTGCAGCGCGAGAGGCCGCGGCAGTGAGAGGCCTGCGTACCGCAAAAAAAAAAATAATAATAATAATTGAACACTTACATGTTAAAGATGATCTGAGTATACAGAGAGGACACTAAAATGAGAGAAACAGGTTTAAAACAGAAGTTCTTTTATTTGAATACTGAATACATTCTGTTGGTACAGAGTGTGCTGAGGATGAAGTATTTTAAAGAAAGAAAAAACACTGGTAGCAATACAATTAAAATGAAAAAAAATAATTTAAAATATAATACAAATGACAAATAGATACAGTAGCATTCTGTGAAGCCCACTTAGGGTATTCCATCATCTGTAGGTTGTAGTTTAATTTAAGCTTATTTCAGACATGAGTATTTGGAACTGTCAAAAAAAAAAAACCCCAAACCAAAAAACACACAAAACCACATGACACAGCAAATCAAACAGTGTATCACGATTTATTAAATACCTTTAATGAAACCAGTACTTGATGATTAGAAAACAGTTAAACCATTTGTTTAAAAAAAAAAACCCTCAAACCAGTGTCCATATTAGAGGTGACAGTGTTTCTTTTGCAGTTTCTACCATAAAATAAGACCACGGTGAACATTCCATATTGGAATTTATCTTTTCAATACAAAGAGTAGGCTCTGCCCATTACAGCAGAATGACTCAAATTTAGTTTTCAGTTCCTGCGGATTCTCAGAGCAGCAGTAAGACAAGTCTCAGGATCATCATGAGGCTAGATTAAAACAAAAGATAGGCAAGGGGAGGGTGACTCAGGAGGTGTGAGACGGAAGGGTTGTGCGTTCACCTAACCCATGTGGTACTAAACCCTGGCTCCCAGCGTTCTGCCCTCCTTCTACTCCCTGGGGCAGGGGTGATCTCACCATCCCCGGATCCCTGTACTTGAACTTCCAGATGTGACTGAATTAAAAATGTTCACTGAATGAAGGAGAAAAATCAGAACTCACTGTTCTGAAAATCTGGGATGAACCTTTGCGAGAGAAAGGTTTGGAAAGAAACACAAAACTTTCAAAACCTAGTAAAGGCAAGCAACTTGAAAAACTAATCAAGGGGTGATCTAGGGATGTCATAATGACAATCTCAGCTTCTTTCCACGTTTAGGGTCTTGTCTTCTTGACCTATAAACCCTACTTCTGACCCCTTCCACCACCAAGTATCATTATTAGAACAGGGCTATCATTAGAAAGCAGTCCTTTATAATCACACTTTCATTCCCAAATCATAAACATTATATCCAGCCACACTAGAAAATTCTATTGAAAAATAGAAAGGAGAAAATTACCCATTGCATTACCACCTAGAGATTACTAACAATTTGAAATATTACTTCCTATCTTGTTTTTATATACCCAGACTTTTAAAAAATTGAGATCACGCTATATTTGCTTGTTTATTCTGCTTTCATTTCCTATTATGTCAATATTTTCTAATGACACTAAACAGTTTTTGAAAACATGACAGGTAATGCTTGCTCAATATTCCATTAAGTGGACAAAACACCTATTGAACCATTTCCTTGCTGGTGAATTTTCAAGCTGTTTCTAATTTTTCAGTTCATCATGTTTTCCACTAGAAATAAACTTGCAATAAACATCAGTCTTTGTATACATCTCCTTATTTCTTTGGAATAAATTCCAAAAAGTGAAAACGTACATCAAAGAAAATGAACATGTCGATAGCTGTCAACATATAAAGGCAGCTTCCAAAGAATTTAAAACGTTAAGTATAAATTTTTACTTGGTAATGTGCTTAATCTCATGGGCAGAATTACTGAGATTAAGAGAAACTTGAAGCTCCCTATTTATCTTTTTAAAAAATATTAAGTTTTCTCCCTTAAAATTTCAAAGTAACTGCAACAGACTTTCACTTTGTCCAACTCTCTAACAGAGATTATCAGATTTAAATGAATACCTTTACTGTCTCAGACAGGTAAATCCTGAGAAAAAATGAGTCTGAATTTAATTCTTTATTCTGAAAAAGGTAACTGTGTACATGTGATCAGATAGCACAGCAACGCTAAGTGTATTTGATAAAAATGTTCACTCGCACATAAATGTCAACGATTGAATGGATGATATTTTAAGGTTTTATAATCACGCTGATTGTAATACAAATTACTTTGACCTTTAAAGTTAAAACTGACTTTTGCCAAAAATTCAGCACTTCAAAATGACGGCAGAGGAAAGAATAGATCAAAATAAGTTTTTCTTACCTTAAACCTGCAACCAGCCCAGCTGGCATGATTTTCTTGGATCTCTTAAACCTCACCCCCATTATGGTGGCCAGGAAGAAAGCTGTAACTAAAAACCAAACCGGTGCGTGAACCAGCGTTTCAAACATGTTATCAGTGCTTGCTTGGGGAAAAAATGGATTTCATTTCAGCTTTCTAATATAACAACTATTATGTATTGGTACTGAGTTGCTATTTTCTTGAAAAGATAAAGTGCTCTATTAAAACACTTTACAAAATAGCTTATCAAAATAGTTTCTGAGGAAACAAGCACGTTAAAATCCATTCCTGAAATATCTTCAAAAGAAAAGGTCTTTTTCTAACTTAATTTCTATTTATAGAACACTCCTGGGAAGGTCAGGACTGTGTCTTATTCAAGTTTCCTTAGGAACACTAGGCAGTATACCTAGACCCACAAGAGACAGCCAAAAAATGTTTAGTTAGCTGAATGGAAGGAAAAGAATCAGTTTCTAAAGTAAATCTTTAAAGTAAGACCTGATTAATAAAATAATCCTAAGAAAAGGCTGACTGTTTTTATTTTATAGCATTCCATTTTGGAAATCTGATGCCTGAAGAGTACATAAAAACAGCCTAATAATATTAAATTCAGAAGCATTATACCAGCCTTTAGAAGCTAAACCAGCATGATGAGAGAAGCAGTTTTATGGAAGAGATTAGGGCACTGATGTCACAATTTAAGAACTTTCAAGGAAAAATCACTTGCTGATATAAAAAACATGACTGACAATAAAAATACATTAACTATTTAAGTGCATATGCATAAAAAGCCCTATATATATACATACATATATATGTGTGTGTGTATATATATATATTTTTTTGCTGATATATTTTTATCTTCTGACATAATGTCATTATTAAAAATATCCCTTGCTCCTATTTAAAATAAGGGGAAAAAATCCCACTTAATCTCTTCCTCTCCCTCAAACAAAGAACTGGTACAATTTGTCTTCCTTTGTATTTTCTTCCACACCCACCAGGGCACTTTGAATAATCATCAAGTTAAACAGAGACCATTTCCTTGGTGTAGTTTTCCAAATCTTCCCTGTATTTGTCTTTCAACCCAGACAGAAGAAAGCCAAGCATCCTGGGGCTTTAAACACACACAAGTTTGTTCCATTTTCCCTGCGGACATTCTCCTACTATAAGCTCAACAAGGGAAGAAGCTAAAAGAGTCAGCCTTGCTTTTCTAAATCTTAAGGCAAAGTGGGACCTAAAAGCTGTTTGTGAATTAAATAAAATAATGCAAGGCTGTCTCTTTTTAGATATTTTCACAGTAACACAAACTATGCTAATATGCATTTAGGAGCATTAGCAGAAAATCCAGACATAATTCCTTGCTTTTTCTAATTTTATTTTATTTTTCTAGTAACAAGTTTTATAGAAATATTCTTCTGAGTTGGAAGGCCTGGCAGCAACATCATTATTTTTGATCAGGTCTGTGTAGAAAGGAAAAAGAACAGTGTTCTGTCTCTGCACATGCATATGCCCACCTGCCATGTCACCAGTATCTTCTAGTACACCGAGGCTAGGTATCAAAATATTATCCCCAAGCTTTGATTCTCCGTAACTGGGAAAAACGCCTTACTCACACAGGGACAATTTTACGTCTCGCTTGTCATTGGAGACACGGTAAGCTCCACAGCCAGCCAAAAATCCAACGGAAAGACCAGCAATCAAAGACAGAACACCACCTGGTGAAAAAAAGTACGGGCTCAGAGAGAGGATCCCCAAATGAAAGGTATACCTTCATCACTCCACATGTGGAAAAATGCGTTTCTTCCTGGGCACTGTAACTGGACAAAGCCAAGTTAGGTATCGGCTATCCATGGACAGTTTCTAAGACATGACTGTTTCATGGTGAACCCCAAATGTGAGGCAGAGGAACCCCAGGTACATAGCAATGGGAGGGGTAGGTATGGTGATAAAGCCTGCCTGTAGTATTGCTTCTGACAGTGACTGCATGGTCTTGGACAATTACCTGACTTGTTTACGCCCCTCTTTTATTCCCCCTGTTCTCCTTGCCTCCATTTTTTTACTGAGGTTGTGATGATAAAAATTAGATGAAATGATATTTTCAACTCATGGAGATAGAGAGGGGGGCCTATTCAAACCAAGCGATGGTTCTGTCCTGAATAATTAACAAACCTTCCAGCCTCAACACATCAGGACTCAGGGATGGACTGTGACCACAGAGTAACAGGAAGAACCTGGTCACTGACACAGCCAGCCAGCCACCAATCCAACCCCTCCCCCACCCAGCGCCCGCCCTGCTCAGCGCTGCCTGGGGCACTGTAATGGACACGAGCTCTGCAGGGTGCACGTGCCAGTGCCACTGTCACCAACACACACAGTCCCCACTTCTGGGCACTCAATCTATTTAGAATCTTATTGGATTGGAATCCCTAGGGTCAAGGCATCTCTGGGGTTTTTTGTTTTTTGTATTTTTTTAGATTTAAATTTATTTTTTATTTTTATTTTTTTATTGAAGTATAGTTGATTTACAGGGTTGTGTTAGTTTCCGGTGTACAGCAAAGTGATTCAGTTGTAAGGTATCTCTGTTTTTTAAACAGCTACAGGAAGGTCAGATTGCAGCAGGGTTAAGAACCACCCTTAAATTCAGATCGCAGCACCTCCAAAACACACAACCCATCCAGAACAAGAAGCCACATGCACTAGGTTGTAGTCTAATTCTACAGGCAACAAGTGAAGGAGGATGCCTGATAACGGAAGTAATCCTCTCCTCCCACACCCTCCAGCAGCCCCAACACACGCACGCACGAGCACACACACACACTCACACTCACACTCTCTCTCTCTCCCCTTTTCCTACCCTTTGAAAAACCGCTAACGAAGGAAGTAACCCTGATAACCATATAGACCTGAAACTCAAGTCCCCCAAGGTCACCAATATAACACTCTTCGAAATATAACTTCATTTAATGAATTTCTTAAAAATATAAGAAGCAAATATGAGATACCATGACTGCAAATGCTTTTACCTTAAAACAAAGCAAAATAGAAAACTTGATCTTTCATTTTTCTCCATGAAAATCCTTCAATTTATCAACTGGGTTTTTTTTTCCATCTTTGCACAGAGATGAAGAAACCACTTCAGATATCATATCTAAGTAATTTTCCTTTGCAACACACAGTATCAACATAATTCAGTTTTTTGACACTATGAGTATATAAACAAACCAAAAACCTCATTTGACAATGAGTGAGTAGCCCTGAAGAGGGTAAGTCAATTAATTACGCAATAGATATTAACAGGTAAAGGGAGACCCAGATGCCCAGGCTCTGGAATGACAGGCTCTGTCCACTCAGCCCCATGGAACCCCCATCCTTCCGAGAATCCCATCCACCACGTGCTTCTTAGCTTCTCGTCCTATTTACAGACCCTCAGACAATCCTAGCACAACCACCAACCTCCCACCAGGTCGCTTATTAGCTTCTTGTCCTGCTTACAGACCCTCAGATGATCCTAGCACAATGACCAACCTCTCTTTAATGAAAAATCTGGTTTGGGCTCACCTCTCCGCTTATATCCCAAAATGCTTCCGAATGTCACCAGGGCTGCATAACCAAAACCAATCAGGTCCATTGGCAAGGTTCAAGTCTAAAGCAAGGTGGAAGAGACATATTTTACAAGATAAGACTCTGGGGGAGCAAATGTGTATAAAAATGATATGCATTCCACAGAGTTACAGAAATGAATTTCTCTAACCTACTAAGAAAAGGGCAGCTAGATCTTCACTTCTCCCAGCACTCAGTCCCGCCACCCTCATCACTCTCAAGAACGCTCAGGGCGACACCTGAGGCTGATTCTCCTTCCTTATCTTCAAGACTTGCTGTTCCCTCAGCTGTGTACTCCCTTCCACTTCCCCATGAGGACTTCTACTCTGGTTAGCCGGGTCTCGTCACAGGGCCGTGATGCTGCCATCTCCGCTTTGCACTCCCGTGCCTGGAATGTTCCCCCGCTCCCCCACCTCCATCCCCAGCCGCCCTCTACGCCCCATCTCCCTCTGAACCTGCTCCCCTTGTCAGCCGCCCCACAAGCTCCTTAACCACTCCTACCTGCACCGTCCACCTGGTCTGCAGCATCTGCTCTTCTTCCTCTAAATTCCCTGATCTCAGCAACTCCACCTTATAATTCTTTCTTTCGTATTTGTACAGATATTTGTCCCCCCTCCTCCTCACATCGAAAAACAGGAAAGGGGTAATGTGGACGTTTGCTTGTTGACTGAAACAAAGATTTCCTTTCTGTTTTTTGTTCTTTTTTTTGGCTGAGCCATGTGGCACGCAAGACCCTAGTTCCCTGACCAGGGATCAAACCCATGCCCCCTGCACTGGGAGCGCCGATGGAATCTAAACCACTGGACCGCCAGGGAGTCCCCAAAGATTCCCTTTCAACATGTGCTTTGCACTAGCTTGGTTATGAGACAGCTCTCCTGTGGTGGCAGAGATGCCCACGCTTGGTCCATGGTAAACCATTAAAGGGTACAGTGCAGCCCTGGCACGAAGTTAACTGAGTGACCATGACATTCTGCAGGCATCACAGCAGCAGCTGAAACATCCAGGGGCTGGAAGTTCTAAGAAGCTCCACTGAAATCCTGCCTGGGATTCTCTAAGATGTAGGAGAAAGTGTGCTAGCTACAGGCTGGAGACACGGGTTCTGGTCACTAGCGGCTGCTGGGCCCTGGACCACCCCCCATCCCTAAGAACAACTCCCCCAAAGTGAGGGAAATAGACAAGATAAGCTCTAAGGTTCTTGCAGCTTTTTAAATTCTAAGATTCCTGGTGGTGATTGCACATCTTAAGTTTTTTACATCTCTATTTCCTCCCTGGAGAAAGTAGTTCTTTGTATCTACAAGGAATGGTATATGAGAATTCTTTGTATTTTCACAATTTTCTCACTGCTGCCATTCAGGTTAACCTGGTCTTTAATTCTCTGTAGCAACTGGTAACAAACTGACCCAGAAGAATGGAAAAGGGGTCTTGAGTTGATCTCAGAGAGTAAGCTAGCACTTAACTGTGAGGAAGGGTCTGGGGAGGGAGCCCAAGGCACAGGAGGAGGTGATGGCACTGAAAAGGAGGCAATGATGGAAAATCCTCAATGTCTGTGGGACAAAGAATTAAAACAGGATAGTTGTCGATGCCCAAGAAGTTGTCCAGTGGGACTGAACATATAGGAAGGAAGGACCTGTGTTCAAAAACCATTTGTTGACTGAATGATGGATAAACAAATAATGAGGATGATGTTTCTGGGCAATCACCATGTGCCAGGCACCACCCTAAGGCCTTATATGTAACAACCCATTTAATTATCACCACAACCCTACGAGGTAAGTACTATCCCCATTATTATCCCCATTTTCCAGATGAGGTGACTGAAGCACAGAGAAGGCAAGCAGCAGCCCCGAGGTCACACAGCAAAACCAAGATTTCAGACTCAGAGAAGTCTCATTCCTAACCAGCAGTACCTCTGAAAACTGAGTTAGCTGCTGAAAGGATGAATGTGAAAGTGAGCCTGAGGTTCCTCAGAGTTTTGAATTCTGGATTAAGTAATTCTGCTTGGCCTCGGAGCTTAGCCCACGCTGCACCGTCTTCCACCTGGTGACCTACCATCTTCAGCCCTATGAGAGCCTCACGTCCAGTCCTACTTCCTGTCTTTCTCAAAGAGCTCATCACATTCCACAATGCATGCTTGGACTTCAGTAGCATGTGATGTTAGGCAAGTTCCTTAATCTCTGTACCTCAGTTTCTCCATCTGTAAAATAGGGATAATAAAAATATCTACCACACAGAGCTGTTGTGGTGATGAAATGAGTTAATGCTATAAGGCACTCAGAACAGTGCCTGGCACACAATGAACACCCAACAAATACCAACTGCTCATATAATTATTCCTCTCTTTCACACTTATATACATTTTTAAGCTTGACATAAACAAGGGCAATACTATTTCAGCACAGCGAGAAATCAACTGAGGTAGGGTGGATTCATGATGCTGGCATTCATAGACTCAAACCATAATAGTACAACCTGCACTTATACCAAATTCCATCAACGACTTTTTCTTGGGCGTCTTCTGTGTGCAGGCAGCAGGAAGGGATGGAAAGCCCCACTGATGGTCACGGTCCTGGTATGCCAGGACTTCCAGTGCAGCACCATGGAGGCGGCAGCTGCGTGAGGGAGCCCTCAGGAGGAGAGGCACAGGCAACGCAACCAGGAGCTGCACCTACTGAGGCTTGGAGCCTAAAGGAAAATTCCTCCAGGAAGCAGGGACCCAGCTGAGGTCACGGGGAGGGCAGGAGTAAACCAAGGGAGGAGGGTGGCAAGGAAGCACATGTCCTAGGCAGAAGGGAGACATGTGCAAAGGCCTGGTGGCATGAGAAAGCATGGCATGGTTTCAAAATGGAGACAAGTGCAAGGGGTGTGAAAGTGGGGGGGGCTGGTGAGCAAGGGCCAGATCACCCCTGGAAGCCCTGTAAAGGGAGTCTGGTGAAGACAGGCTGGGAGGCAGTAAGCCAAGCAAGGGATGATGGTGGCCTGGCCTGGAGAAATGAGGGTGGAGCGAGGTGGACAGATGTGAGAGGTCAGGAGGTTGACTCAACAAGCCCAGGTGTGGGGAGGGAGCAGGGGGGATAAGCCTCTGGCTTGGACCACTAGGAAGAGGGGAGCCTTGATGCTGTTCCCTGAGACAGGGAACAATGGAACAGCAGCAGGTGTGTGGTGGGGGCAGGAGGGGGGTGCCCTGGAATGATGGAGCTCAACTTAAACATAATCAGTCTGAGATGCCCAACACACAGTCAGGAAGCACCCTTCCACAGAGATGTGAAGCTTATGAGAGAGATCACTCCTCATTAGGTAGTAATTGAGGGACCTAATTCTCTCCTTAAGTTAATCACCTGGGGTGGAAGGCTGGTTCTTCTCCCTCCTCTGAGTCCCCCAGTTCTTCCTCTGACCCTCTCTTGGGGCCCCATCCCTTCTACCTGGTGTAGACTTACTTCCCTTGAGCTTCTCTCTCCTCTGGGCCAGTCAAGCTCCTTGAGGGCTAAGCTCAGGTTCAATTCATCTTGTCTTCCTCACAGCACCAGGCCCACTACCGAGCACTTAGGCAGGTGCTTAGTAAATGCCTGCTGAGTGAATGAGTAAGTGAACCAAAGGAATAACTTCTGCCTTAAGACATTACGTAACTGACCTACCCTCGGTATAGCTCTAGTGCCAGGAAAAAGCCCTTCATCGCCTTAGTGAACTGAGTGTTGTTCTAAGGAGGCAAAATAAATCTATTCTCAATCCTTGTAAGAAGTTTCGTGCTTACAGCGAAAATTCAAACAAAAGGCAATCAGCTCTGGTGCTCCTTTTCCGTGGCAGGACCGTATGTCCTGCTCAGAATCACACAGGAAAGCCAGAGGCTGCGTTAACAAGGGCGGGATGGGCGTGGGTACGAAGCATCACGTGTTCCCATCGCAAACGCTATGCCCAGCCCTTGGAAAGGCCAGAAAGCATCTTGGGTGCAATGCAGCAAATTATTTACTGCACAACGCACAAAACCAGATGAAGGGGCCCTGCCTTGCCCTTAGCCCTCCAAAATTTGGGGAAACCACTAACAGATTTCCCGTAAGCTATTATATAAAAAGCATTTTCACATGCTGAGTATCAATAATTACCTACCTTTGAACTCCTTGAGGCTCGAAAGACACATTTTCGAGTGAAGTCTGGATGGTGCTGGGAAGGTTTAAAACCCTGCCAAGCATTTCTAGATGGTCCAAGAGCCCCACCCTCTTCCCCATCTCTCCTTAGCTCTAGGAAGGTAGGAAGGAGAACAGGTGGGAGATTCAGGACCGCGGAAGGAAGAAACTCCGGCAATTCCCAGGAGGAGGAAAGAAGCGATTCCCCGGGAGAACAGACTCCACCCCCTGCAAAATCCTCCCAAGAATCTCTGCGTCTTTAACTGCCTATTTCTGCACCGATGCATGAAAATTACGGCCAGGAAAGTCTCGATTGCGAGATGTACAGCTCACCTGCAGCCCCGAGCTGTCTCCGCGGCTGAAAAGAGCAAAGTCGGGAGCTAGGTGCGGGAAAACTTCGTACCTGGAGAAGTGAAGCTGACCCCGCCGCCTGCGCCTTCTACTCTGCGCGTTACCTCCCAGTACTGGGTGGGGCCGCTGATTCCAGGAGGCACCGCCCCCGCCCCTCGCGCGCGCATGCGCGGCACTCCTTCCACTGCAGCTCAGCCCTGTCCCGCCCATGCCCGCCGGGCGCCGTGGAGGTTAGTCGGCTCTACCACTTGCAGCACCTGTACTGTAGCATCCCAGGCGATGGCCACACCTGGTCACTCGCTCCGGACCCGGCCACTCGCTTCGGCGACCCGGCTTTTGGTCCTGGCCCTGATCCCGGGACTCGGGTCTGGTGCCTCCTGCCGGACGGACCTGGAGTGACATGCATTCGCAAGGAGTGGGCCTGGGTGTACCAGGGATTCCAGATGGCGAAAGATTTTTAACCATTTAAGAAGTTCCTTCAATATTTAAGGGACGTTTGTGGGACCTCTCCAGCAACCCAGGCGTTTTACATACTCTCCACCAGATTGTCCCCATTTTCAGCGGAGGGAGGTAAGGTTCAGAGAGGCGAAGGGATTTCGTTGTCCACAGACTCAACTCCACAGGGTGCAAAGGCTAGAGCCCGAGTTTGTCTGGTTTCAAAGCCCGAGCACCCTTTATTACACCGCACCATCTACGAAGGCATCTAGATGTGGTGGGGAGACCAGGATCCCGGTTTCATACTTCAAGCCCAGGATTTGCTGGACTTAAGTACCTGAAGGGGAAAAGTACAGAGTGCCAGAATTGAAAGGCACTTTAAATCATCTTTCGTTCCAGAATAATACGTTCTCAGGGATGAACCTTAAATTGATCTGGAATCCTGCATCCTGGCTACAACTTCTCATCTCACTCCAGTTTTGCCTTCCAGGCCACTGACAGTAACTCCAACCCTCTTCCTTATATAATAGCTCTTCAGAGATTTGAAGAAGGCTGTCATCTAGGGCTTATCAAGCAGCTCTAGGGGTGCCGTGGGGCTGGGAATAATAGAATTTCTTAAAATTAAAAAAGAAAGAAATCTTAAGAATATATCTTATACCTTGTGAAATTTGCTGAATCTATTCCTTGTGTTTAAAAGTGCTTCAAGGAAGCAATGAGACTATCTAAGATGAGAAGTCTAAGGTGGGCATAAGGAAATAGGGTTCTGGGAGATTCACAGGAGAGTTGATGGCAGGTGCCAGAATGTGGATGGAGGAAGTGGTATCCTGAACTTTGGCTCCAGGTTCTCCCAGCTCTCCTTCTCATCCCCTTCTTTGCCCATCCTTACCTCAGGGCATGCTGGCACCTTTGCGGGTGCATGCTCTCACTCTGTCTCTCTCTCTCTCTCTCTCCCCCCACCTCCCCACAGACTCCCAGGACACTTTCCCTAACCTGAATAAAACCAAAAACCCTCTTGGGATGCCTCAGTGTCTTTAACTAATATGAACCACCCCCCCAAGTAAATAACTTCCCCCTGGACCCCAGTGCCTGGATGTATAAGATGCTGAGATCCCTTCCACCCCTGTCACTGAGGTCTTAGAGACTGAAAACAGCCGCATGGTATTCCTACTCAAGGCGTTTTCACACAAATCGAAAAGAGCAAGGTGAACAACATGCGGGAACAGGAAGGTTCTTAGGCAAAAGGGCCACTGTCCTCTCAACTCACATGCCTCCAGCTGACATCTACTCCATCTAATGGGAAGGTTAGACAGAGCACGAGACGAGAGTGCAGTAAAGCCTATTCACCTCCACCTCTTTGTAAAGCTGTCTGCTCATGATCCACAGCATATTCTTAACTTCCAATGTGCCATCAACCCTTGGGCAGTCTGGACAGATGTACAGGATAAAGTATGTAGGATTGACAAGGAAGCCAGTTTTATTGAAATAAAGTTATCAAAATATTAAACGTTTAAATCTGTGATATGAGATGTGCTTCATTATTAAATTATGAGATCTAGAAGTGGGTTTTAATAATTACCACAATTTCCAAGTAGTTGTGCACATAAACAATACTCTGAGGTGTCTGTAACATGAATATCTGATTCCTGGGGATGACAGTCACAGGTTCCAGCACTGCTGTGGTTTGCTGCCAATTTTCCTAATGGAAAGAAATGCTAAATTTTACTTAGACGTTGGTGAGTACAGAAACTTCTTTTTCCCATCCAAGTTCTCAGATCTTGTGATTTCTATCTTCAGGCTTCCTTGGATTTGCAGAACTCCCAGTCTCTAGTGATGTAGGGTTTCCTAAGTTGTATTTGGTGGACTTGGATAAAGGGAAGGCAAGGCTGAGAGCCCAGGCAGGACCTCCAAGGACGTCTGCGCCTCAGCGAGTGATCTGGGATCCTCAGCCTGGTCCTCATTTTCAAATGTTCAGAAACTCAGTTTATATCCATTCTTCCAGGGGCACCCTGGCTTTGGAAGATTGATTCGTAAAAACCAAAGTCACAAGGGACTTACTGATTTTTAAGCAAACAAACAAACAAAGCCTGTTTCAGGTCCTCGATTCTTCTCTTCAGATCCCACACGATTACTTACCATTTAGGCCTGTCTCTGCTCATCAGTCCAGAATGAGACAGGCAAGTGCCTCCAAACCAACCAAAAAGTTTACATTTGTGCTATCTGACGAGTCTGCACATAGATGAGCGAAGTCTAGTTCGTATTTGGGCAAAATACCAACAGCCTTTTGTTTTATGATTTCGGCAGTTTCATTAAAATCCTCATAGAAATCCAGAAGACGATCTGAAACTCCATTTTTCAAGTCAAAGTACCTGAGAGCTAGAAAGAACATTTTTTTGTTGCCATGATTTGGTGCATGGCTTGCAGCCGATATACTATAGAAAGCATGATGGTTGGTGAGAGATGACAAAATCAGCTCTACACTGTAAGGGACCGACACATCTGTTATCAAAATTTCTCCTTCTGTTTGCGCACAGAATATTTTGGTCACAACCTCTGAATCAGGAAAAGTGACTTTACTCAGCTTCATAGAACAATCAAGGCAGCCGTAGGACAAGGCATGTCTGTCTGTGTAGGACACCCATGCTAATTCACCAGCTGCTACTTTTGGGTGAATGCTGATTTCATTTCCCAAAAAGACACCACCTTTGGCTGGTTTGGGGGCACTTGCCTGTCTCATTCTGGACTTGTGAGATTGTCTCGAAATGCGCTTTCACATCCCGTTCTCCACCACGCCCAATCCCAAATTCTTTCCCACACAGTGTGCAGGATGCTGTGTGGGTTATGTACGTCCCTGATCCAGTTGTATGTGTCCTTACATTTGTCGTTAAAATAACACAGTCGTTTAGCCTTCTTTTTTGGTGATGGGAATCATGCTTGCGTTAGTAGTACAAACGTTCTCATTTTCATTATCTGACCTCTTAGAAAACATGGTCACAGTTCTCACAGTGTTTAAAAAAAAAAAAAAATTAAACTAGCACTCTTCTGATACAAAGCACAACAGTTAATCCCCAGGCTGGTATCACAGCTCATGCCACCAACGTACAATTTTCTGAAATGGTCGGGTGAGACACATGGCCACAGTAAGTCTTAACAAGGAAGCCATGAGCTTTGAATGTCTTACTAGAAATCCATGAGCTAAGGTAGGGGGAGATCGCCCAAAGCTTTCACTGGAAGGATTACAAATAAAGCCACCATCCAGCAGCAAAAGTCCACTCCCACGCATCCTAAGTATGAAAGATTGTACCTTGGAAAGACGTTAACAAATTTATACCACCTCCTTACTGAGATCTCAACTCCACAGCCCCTCCAGGCTGGGAGGGGAAAGAAAGGGCAACCTGGCCACAGCGGAGGCCACAACTGGAAGACACCCTCCTATCAAAGTGCTATCATCAATCTCTATCTTCCTCTGTACCCAGATGTTGCTGTCAAGGAACTTGGCCTTCCTGGGGCAGAGACTGCGGTCACACAGCGAGTCTGTTCCCAGCGGGAGGGGAGGATGGAGGCCCTGGGTAGGGCGCGGCCGGACCTGGCTCAGACCCAGTCCGAGATCACACCTTGCTCCCGGCCACCTACCCTCTGGGCCAGGCGCTTTGGGGACTGCGCCCAAAGCCACCCAGCGACTCCCGCCAGCTCCCCAGCCCCCACCCGCTCCCTCCTCGCTCTTGCCGGCTTCTCGGGGCGGGTTCTGGAGGCGGCCCCGTGCCTGTTCTCGGCCAGGCGCGTCGTCTCCACGGGCTGCTCGCCCTCACCTGCTTCTGACGCGCAGGTCAGACCCTTTTGTCACCTCCCCGCCGAGGACGCCGCGGAGACCGCTGGTGGGCAACTGCCCCGCGCTCGACAACTGGCCCAAGCATCTTTACGCGAGCGTTTCGGAGCGACCGTTTATAAGGCCCAAGTCCTCTGGGGCGGGCCCACTTTTCCTAAAGCGTACGTTCATTGGCTGAACCCGCCTGACACTCAGCCCTGGGCCGGCGTCCTGTTGACCCTGACGGCGACCTCTCAGAATCCTGGGAAGTTTGGCGTCTTCGAAGGCAGCGGAGCCGCGGCGCCTCAGAGGGTTCCCGAGGGCCGTGGAGCCTGCGAAGGCTACCTCCGCCGGCTGACGCCTCAGCCTTCGCCCCGCGCGCCGGTCTCGGGCTTCACGGAAATGAAAACAAGCCAAGAGTAAAACAAAACCAGTACAAATCCCCAAGTCAAAGCAGCTACAATCAAATTCAAGGAAAGCAAAGGTAAATGAGTTTTCTCAGTATAATTAAGCAAGAGTCATTTTTTGGCAGAGGCAAAGTAAACAACTGAATTTCAAGGGGGTGAATTCAAGAAAAGGTGAAACGGGAATCTAACTTCAGTTATAGGATATTTATACCGATTTCTTTTTAGACCTTGATAAGCAGAAGTTCGCTGTCAAAGAATCCAGCTTTTCTTATTTGGTTGCCTTTCCTACAAACGGCAGCAGGGGGCACTAGATGCTCTAGTTTCATTCAGGTAGGCGAGGCGTTTTAAACCTTGTTAGAGTTATTATCAAACTCCAAATGGTTTCCTCTTAGAAAACAGGGCGGTGGTCTGACTAAAAGGATGTAGGAGGACTTCCCTGGTGGCGCAGTAGTTAAGAATCCACCTGCCAATGCAGGGGACACAGGTTCGAGCCCTGGTCTGGAAAGATCCCACGTGCCGCGGAGGAGCTAAGTCCGTGAGCCACAACTACTGAGCCTGCGAGCCACAACTACTGAACCCCACGCGCCTAGAGCCTGTGCTCCACAAGAGAAGCCACCGCAATGAGAAGCCCCCGCACCGCAACAAAAAGTAGCCCCCGCTCGCCACAACTAGAGAAAGCCTGTGGGCAGCAACAAAGACCCAACGTGGTCAAAAATAAATAAATTAATTAATTTTTAAAAAAGAATGTACCAAAAAGGTAACAATTTCTGCACTACAACCTGTTGACTAAGGATTACAGTTTCCTGAAATATTGTGATGGGGAGAAAAGGTCAATTACAGGACCTAAGGGGGAATTTTAAGGTGGGCTCTAAAAGAGACAGGCAGTGGAGAGTGAACAGGGTACCGCTGACTCCCTGTCCTAGCCCTGCCATCTGGACTCATTTTGAACTTTTGCCAGGAACACGGGACTTTCCGTGCTACTGGGACTGAGAGGTTTCCTGGAATTTGGCACTTTACTATAAACAATAATGATAGTAACTAACGTTTAATGAGTATTGTGGGCCAGCCACCTTCTGAGCATTTAATCCTCCCAATAACCCTCCGGGGTAGATACTGTGTCATCCCCATTTTACAGAGGAGGAAACTGAGGCAACTTGCCAAAGGTCATGCACACAGCTGAGAAGTGTCAGATCCATGTTATAGAAAAGAGTGTGCATGCAGGCTCTGCAATCATTCTGCCTGGGCGCCAATCATGGCTCCACTGCACATTTTATTAAGAGAGGAAAGCACAAAACATTATGACTGGCACAGAGGAAATACTCAGTAGTGTTTGGTATTATTATTAAAAGTGGTCCTTGCTCTCCAAGAGTTTAAAATTTACTTTAAGAGGTTGGTAAGATTCATAAGGCAGTAGAGATGCCTATTGAATGGGTGAATGGGACAGAGAAGAGATGTGTGGAAGTATTTGGAGGAGGGAACAGCTGTGAAACAAGAGTGGTTAGATCTGGGTCACAGGTCACTCAGCATGGCCCCTGCTTAAATGAGTAATCTGCATGTCATCATTAGAAGGTGATCTCAGATCATGAATGGCTTGAGCTAATCACTATAATCTTTGTGTTTGGTTATCATATGGGTGGGTGTGTTTAATTAAAAATGTAGTCGATTTTTACTAGTCACTAAAATTGTCTTAAGGAATGGTATGGTATCTACTCTTTTAGCTAGAGGAAGCATTTATTAATTTATTAATTTTTCAGAGAAAGCATTTATTAATTTCACAAAACTGTTGCATGTTCTATGGTCAGGCCCTTCAAGATGGCTGTTCTCCTGCTCTCTGTGCATCCCCTGCTTGAGCAGGCCCTGCTTCCCTCACATAACTATTCAATCCTCTTAATTATAGGGCTGAATTAGTCCCTGGTAACTGAGCCCACCTGATGTCAATCCCCCCCGTAAATGGTAGCCTCCTTCTCCCCTGAGTAGCAAAGACTGTTGCCATGTCCTGTCCTCTGGACGCAGTGGGGAGTTTCTCCAGGACCCTTTGTAGGATTCCCCATGTCCAATAAACCATTGATGTCTCTATCACTGTCTCTGGGCTCTGCCGTCCGGAGGCTGGACAACTACAAGACTTGCAGGCCTGTGGGATACAGCCCAACAGATGTCAAGCCATGGAAAAGGAGTCTGAGTTAGAATAGGACTCTGAGAGTTAGAGACTGACTCTCGAGGGGGATGGCAAGAGGTATTATAATTGAAACCTGAAGTCTGAGAGGCAAGGAGTCAGGGGAACCGCATTGTGGGTAGCAGGAATGGCCTGAGCAAAGGCCCTTCGGTGGGGAAAGGGCTCCATGCCTTTTGAGAACCAAAGGAGGGTGTTTGGTTGGGGCTAGAGAATTGTGAATTAGAAGCAGAATAAATTGGTTTAGCAACGAGCTGTGTTCATAAAGAGCTGGGCTGAGTATGGTTTCCTGCTTCTGAGTCTTCTATTTAAATCTGGACTGTGCAGTCGCCAGATGTTGCTGCGGGGAAACTTCCCATCATGGGGTGAGGGGTAATCTTTGCGTGCATCTTGCTTTCCATTGGTTGTCCTTAACTGAGTTTAACGCTCTGTGTCTGTGTGTGCTTGAACCCAGAAGAGCCTCTGTTTTGGATGAAGATGACTCCTGACTCTTCTCTTTTGCTTAGCAGGAAAAGAATGGTAAAATGGATTTACATTCGTTCACTAGCATACTTGTCTAACTTCATCTTCCCCAAAAGATTTCTTAGAATAAAAAATAAAAACAAATATTAGGGCTTCCCCGGTGGCGCAGTGGTTGAGAGTCCGCCTGCCGATGCAGGGGACACGGGTTCGTGCCCTGGTTCAGGAGGATCCCACATGCCGCGGAGCGGCTGGGCCCGTGAGCCATGGCCACTGAGCCTGCACATCCGGAGCCTGTGCTCCGCAACGGGAGAGACCACAACAGTGAGAGGCCCGCATACCGGAAAAAAAAAAAAAAATTAAAGATAGCTCAATCTTGGGACTTCCCTATGCAGGGGACCCAAGTTCGATCCCTGATCAGGGAACTAGATCCCACATGCATGTCACAACTAAGAGTTCGCATGCCACAAGTAAGGAACCCACCTGCTGCAATTAAGACCTGGTGCAGCCAAAAAAAAAAAAAAAAAATCCTGTTCCTCTACATCCTCATCAGCATTTGGTGTTGTCAGTGTTAAAAAAAAAAAAAAAAGCTCAATCTTTCCTATTCTGATGGCCTCCATGGAGCCACTACTGTACTTGTAGCCACTACTCCTATTCTGATGGCCTCCATGGAGCCACTACTGTAAAAATCAAACATGTGAGAAAGAGGACTTGATGTACAGAGTTAATCCATGTGTCTTCTTCAGATCTCTTTGAGCAAACGACCCTTAATGCAATAAAACTGGCATCTTTGAGGAAAAGCAGATTATCTTGTGTGATAAGGGTGCCTTTTCTCATTACGTTAATGTTGCTCTGATCATGTGTTTAAGCAATGTTTTTAATTTAAAAGAAAAGGTCCCAAGAGACAGGGCATAATAATACTTGGAAACATGCAATGGAGAAACATTCTGAAAATCCACTCAACAGTGCAGCGGGACTCACTGTAAAGGTGAAATTGGGACCAAATTTAAAGAAAAGAAAGATTCAGCCCCTTTCTCTCTCCTTTTTTTTTTTTTTTTTGTGGTACGCGGGCCTCTCACTGCTGTGGCGTGGCCTCTCCTGTTGCGGAGCACAGGCTCCGGACGCGCAGCCCCAGTGGCCATGGCTCACAGGCCTAGCCACTCCGCGGCATGCGGGATCTTCCCGGACTGGGGCACGAACCCGTGTCCCCTGCATCGGCAGGCGGACTCTCAACCACTGCGCCACCAGGGAAGCCCCTCTCCTTTCTTCTTATAGTTCATTCTAAGGGGCTAATTGTTAGAGCAAGTTTAAGTGGTATATCTAACAAATTTCATGGAAAGAAAGGCAATGAATATTAAAAGTTTCTGAAATTCAAACCAGATGTGGATGGAGAGTTAATTTAAAAACAACCACACACCTGTAACACCTTGGGCAGGCTCTGGAACATCTAGCAGCATTTGTATAACTCATCTTTTCAGGCTGGATTTAATAAAGATTTGGGGGATGAAGATGGTTAGGAAGAAATTGAACTATTTATGAAATACATTTTTTTAAATTGGTAAATTATTCCAATTAGCAAAGTGGTTAATAATGCTGGCTTTTAGGCTGAATTTTTCAATTTGTGAAGCTTCAAGACTAGGAGACTGCCAGGTGAATAAGAAACGGTCAGGGCTTCTCCCTGAAATTGACTGGGGCTGTGGTCAAAATGTAATAGGATGCTTCTGTGTCATTCCCTTTTGCAAAGATGTCGCTACAGACAGAACTTTAGGAAAACTCTATTTCATTCATCTTAAATTGTCTCCTTGGAGGCTTCTGAAACGCTTAATTCAGTGGTCCCCAAATTTGCTGCCCATTGGAATCACCTGGGCATCTTTGAAAACTACTGATGCCTGGCTCCCATCTCCCGATATTGTAATTTACCAGGTATGGGCTGCAACCCAGGCATGGTTTTGTTAAGCTTTTTATATATACATGGGTTGTAAGAAATCATACAGAGAGATTCCTTATACTCTTTATGTTACCCCATGGTAACATCTTCCAAAACGGTTATACAATATCACAACCACCTTATTGACATTGATACATGCAAGATCTGGAACATTTCCATCACTACCAGGATCCTTCCCTCTTGTTGGCCTTTTATAACCACACCTACCTCCCCACCCACTCCAACCCCCTCCTTAACCTCTTGGCAACCACTAATCTATTCTCTATTTCAATAATTTTGTCATTTCAAGGATATGATATACATGTGATCATACAATATGTAACCTTTGGGGATTAGCTTTTTTTCCACTCAGCATAATTCTCTGGAGATTCAGCCAGGCTGTTGCAGGTATCAATATTTAGTTCCTTTTTATTGCTGAGTAGTGCTTCAGGGTGTGGATGTACCACAGTTTGTTTAACCATCTGGATTGTTTTCAGGTTTTGACTATTAGGAATAAACTG